GTCTTCTGCTGCAGTTTTTGTGCATTGTACATCAGCACAATGTGATGACATGAGCGAATTAATGAATAGCCAAAAAATACGATTCATATGCCAAAATAATTGTGAAAAAATATTTCAAATTTATTGTAAACAAATAAGAAAAGTGAGGTTGTGTTTCAATGTTGTGCCTCCAGGGTCGGTCATCTGACAGTTCTTGCACGCAACCCATATACCGGGTGTCAACGAATCTATTAGACAAGTCATCACTTCTAGACCATTAGGTGTATCAAAATGAGATTTGGTATTGGTAAATGGTATGTGAAGAGGAGAGTTTTCACATATTTCTCACTTTCCGGTCACTTCCGGTTTCGCCGGAAATGGCTCCGGTTCTAAATTTTTAAATGGAACACCCTGTATATTGAAACATTTTTGGATTTCTGAGACAATTCTAGATCAGAATGTGACATTTTAGAAAGTTTTTATGCCTACTTAATTTTTTCGGAGTCACTTTTGAAATTACATCTAGGTGGCCATGATCGGAAGTAAACTAATCTAAGGACCTCAGGTGATATCAGAAAATTACAATCGCGAAGTTTTAGTAACAAGTATGATAGATATGAATAAGACAAGTTGGCAATATTACATTTTCGTGTCTAACTATTATTTTTCAAATGGCAACCATTTTTTGACAAGCACTTTCCGAAAAAAGGATATTTTGACGAATCTAACGATACTAATTTATTTGCGATTGGATTCAATTTATTTACTTTTGTCAAGTGTGCCGAGGATAGGCATGATGCATAATATTTTGCAGTTATTTCTATCAAGTCTTCTTGGGAGAACAAAACACTCACTAAGGTTATGATAGTGACATAAGCTTCAAGAGCAAATTAATTAGTACGTAAAAAGTTACACCCTCTTCCAATTTCGACGTAATAAATAGGAGTATGTGAACATTGTGAGATTTCCGTAAGCCGCATAGGCATCAGTACTTTTCGAATTATCTCAAAAACAAATAATTTTATCAAAATTTCACAAGAAACAAAAAATACTCGAAAATGATTTGAAACTTGAAAAAAAATAGCTGGGAAGTCATTAGCGAACGTACAAATAAAATATGGGGGTAGGTGTGTACTTGACCCCCAGTATTTTGAATGTTTGACAGTTATTTCCTGTTTTGTTTTCCTCAAACGATGTAACTCTTCGTGCTGAAGTAATGTAGCAATTTTGATATTAATTCCTCATTAAATACGCGCGTAATTAAAAGAAAAAACAGTTTTCAATTTCCAACTTTGACACCCTGTATATCGAATATGAAGGGATACAATGGAAAATGGTATCTAGAAACTCATATTGTTTTTGTTCAAGGAATATATGGTTGATGGATTGACCTCCTTTTAGCGGACACCCTGTATAATACTCTCAAGATACATTCACGTCGTTTTTGTACTAGAAAAAATAACTTGCGTCAACTTTTTATAGAAAACTTCTCACAACTGACCGTTGCGACAGTTTTCTTCCAGTGAAATAGTGCCAATTGATACAAATTCGATAAAGACGTAACTCACATCTAGGGGCCAAATATCTTACTACAATTCTGACGATTTTTTTCCAGATAGAGTAAACTTTTCCCTACCTGCTGATGGGCATAACTCATTTTTCCGAAAAATGCAGTTACGTCATTATTATTCTGGAACGGCGATGTGTTTGTGTAAATTTCGAATTTGCGAGTATGCCTACATAATATTATTATGGTGAACTTTTGATAAATGATTTTTATATATTTACTTATAGAATGAACTCGAACCTATAAACGGCAAAAAAATTCCAGTGTAATTTCATGCTCCGTCCACCAAGGAGGTGGAAAATATTTTCAAGAAATTTGTTTAGTTGCTATGGTAACGATAGGAAATACAGGCTTTAAATTGATCGAAAATGTTTGGTGTGAAAATTTCAGTTAAAAAGTATCACTCCCATTATCTTCAACCAATATATCTTCTCTGCATTCGTTTCTCATTTTGAATGTTACTTCTTCATGGCCCACAAAATATATAAAGAAACTCTTCTGCAGAAAGAAAAATGTAGTATTGGCTTCATAATATTCTTGACTCAATTTTAGGAGAGTGACATATCTACAAGTCATAGGTCTTCAACTGAACAGGACAGTCTCTTTAGGGAATTATCACCTAGAAGAAGAAAACCAACCAGGATGGCCAGTACTTCAAGTGCAAGTATTTTTTGAATATCTCTACTCCCTAAGCTATCATTATAATAAAAAATATTCAATCTGTTAGTTTACAATCCTTTGGGCATTACAATGTTGGAGTATCATTTTTTATAACATCAATTTCTATGAAGAAAGATTTTCACTTATAATATCACCAGAGCTTCAATTATTTCCGGAAATATTCCTTTTCCAGAAAAAATTCCCAGATATTAATTGAAGCTCAAGTGGTATTTGGTAGGAAAATTCACACTGAAATATTATTAGGAAATTACTTGGATAATGACAATTTTTGATGGTTTTGACATTTGAATAGTAGTAGGCTTTGTATGTTAACTCAAAAGAATAATATATTTTTTTCTGTGACGGGAAAAAAGTTTGGCATTTCATCTCTGTTGGCAGGTTATAAAATGTCACTTTTCATAAATTACTTTTTTCCCGTGGGAAAAAAGTGAGTACGTCTTTCCCAGATATATCACATATATATACTCTGTTAATGGCTTTTGTTGTGCTATAGTTCCGAAAAATGAGTCAATAATACCGTCTCCGAGAAAGAACTGCAAGTCCTTTTATCTTCCATGCGTCTTCGCGGTTTCGTATATTACTAAACAACTACTGAATTCGCAATATTTTAAAATCAAATCATAGAATTGAACTGACAGAAGTGACATCAGATATTTGATTACTTCAAAAGAATGATAAAGATGTCTATAAAACGCAGGTGTCCCTACTGTTAAAAACTTGAAATTTCACGTCGATAATTTTCACATTTCGAAATAATGTAATATCTTCTCAATATTGATTCGTCCTTCCATCTGTAACAGAAAAAAATAGTGTATTATACACGGGAAAAATATTAGATTTTAGCTCACGGATTTTTGTCTCCCTCCGATACGCGTCGGGAGACAACACAACCTGGAGCTAAAATCTACTACTTTTTTCCCTTGTATAATAAATAACTATTTTTTATTTATGTATGTCATTCTCCATGTCAAAACTGAAGAGATGTATAATATCATATAGTGTTTATATGAAAATGATGGTTGTTTGTGAGTATACCCACATAATATTATATGTTAAACTGTTGATAAATGATTATTATATGTGATGTTTAATACATTATTATGGAGAAATATCGACTTAAGTGTATTTTGAGTCATTGTTTATTTCTCACTACGAAAAAAATAATGACATAACTATCCCATGCGTCATTTTCTCCTCTTAAATTTTATCTGATTCTAATCGTAATTGCACTTTCAGGTTATATTACATCGGACCATTTAGATTCTGAAATGACCCAACTGTTTTTTGCGACAAATTAATTGAAACATTCCAATCTTTCATCTGTTATCAATGCGACATAAAAATAACAATAAAACAAATTATGAATGAAATTGTAACTTTTTCATAGTAATTGGTCATCCTTGTAGATTATTATAAATTTTCTGTTCAAATCTTCACATTTAAAATCCGAACTGATTCATAATATCGATGGAAAAGATAATATAGATATTTCAGGTCGAGAAAATACGACGGCTTGGAACTGGTATCCTGAAACAACTTTTTTCACAATATTTGCATAATTTATAGATCTCTTGTTTGTTTTTCATAATTTCTAATTAACAATTATTGCAGCTGTAAATTAGACATGCAGATAAAACATTTTCAGTTTCCACTGTTGTAACTGCAAATTAGGCGCGTAGATTTGAGAAATGAAAAGCTGTTTAAGTATGTAAGTTCAGAGCCGTCAAAAGAAGAAGACGTTCTGAGATTATACACTCACCCTCAAACTTGAATCTCTGACATCCAAGGGTTGTAAATCTCTGGTTGAAACAAATATCATTTTCGAATTACAAATATTCAGCTTCTTGTTCTTATTATTCATTTGAAATTTCGAACTCAGGGTCGTTCTTCTGATTGAACAGTTGGATATTATTTTTCAGTTCCTATTTTTTCTTGCGGGTGATCATCCGAGGGTTGTTTATTGATGTTATAATTACAATTATAACCTACATAAGTGCAATTCATCCTTTTGAAATTATTTTCCTTGAAGTAAATGATTCGAAAAACTCTCTACATCTTTGTCCAATGAATTTTAGAGGATTTTAGTTTATACCATTGCTCATGAGTGAACAGAATATATTATCTGGAGTTGAAAAGAATGAGATCCTTCATCTGTTTTTATTTTCAAAACCAAGCAAATCATCAAAAGACATATAACTTCAAATATCCATATCAAATTTCAAAATATCATCTCTTTGAACATACTACATTGAAGTATGAGGGTATATACTTCCAATATATCGAAGGTTCAAACTCATAGTATAAATCGCCTATTTGGAAATAAAAAAATTGATATTTTGAATTCGTTTTTTTCCTTCTCCTGTAAAATTTCATTTTTTGCATTTGCGCCATTATTATTCTGGAGCAGCGACATGTTGTTTGACATGGAGAATGACATACATAAATAAAAAAAATATATTATTCATTTGAGTTAACATACGAAGCCTACTATTCAAATGTCAAAACCATTAAAAATCATCATTATCCAAGTAATTTTTTAATAATATTTCAATGTGAATTTTCTTACCAAATACCACTTTAGCTTTAGAAAATTCTCCCAAGTCTTATTTCCGGAAATAATTGAAGCTCTGGTGATATTATAAGTGAAAATCTTTCTACATAGAAATTGATGTTGTTATAAAAAATGATAGTCCAACATTGTAATGCCCAAAGGATTGTAAACTAACAGACTGAATATTTTTTATTATAATGATAGCTTAGGGAGTAGAGATATTCAAAAAATACTTGCACTGGCCATCATCCTAGTTGTATTTCTTCTCCTAGGTGATAAGAGTCTGTCCTCTTCAGTTGAAGACTCATCATGACTTATTGTAGATATGTCACTCTCCTAAAATTGAATCAAGACTGTTATGCAGCCAATACCACATTATTTTCAAAATGAGAAACTTATTTGAAAAAGATAGATTGGATAGAGATAAAGTGTTTCAAATGTATTGGAAGCTATAATCATAGGAAAAAGTACTTACACTAGAAGTCGAGCTATAGTATAGGTGATTATTCAACATTTCCATCATCAGTTTCTTTTTCTTCCTGAAGAGAATATGAGTATACAGAGTGTTTCAGATTTAAATGTACATACGATACCTGTAGATAGAGGACACTTTGGTGGTTCCAAATCACCCCCTATTAATGTGTCTACTGTCTTTCATAACTGAGATACAGTAGGTTATCTTGATTTTGGCAAAACCTTTATGTGGTCATAACTTTTGAATCACTTTGTATTATCCATTCATACTTGGTAGGGATATTCCATCCATGTTACACAATGGAATTGATTGGAAATTGAGATCAGAATCCAGGTCCGTCTTCAGGAAAAACTAAACATTCATAATATTCTGAAAACAACACCCTGTATATCGAATATTTGTAGATCTGGTTCGATATCTGAAAAGAGCGGAAAAAACTGAATCAAATGACCAACTCTTTACTAGTGCGCATCCAATTTAACATGTGTTACCAGTGACCTCAAATCAATTTATTCTAGTAATCATATCGATTTTGAGGCATTTATTGATAAAACATTCAATTTGGATACACAAAAATTAGTCTCAGATTGTAACCCCATAGCTGTTGAATCAAAGTTGAACTACCAATAGATTTCTACATTGATATACTAATTTTTCAATGATTATTAAAGTTTGATGATTATAGGAAATCGACGGTCCGGAAATCTTCTTCGATACTCTCTGGCAGCAGCTCGTCCATTGCCATCACAAAATCCATACACATCCGCTAACTCAGAGTTCGAAAATTTATAAGGCATAAGACAATCCAAGAGTTATCTTGATGTTTCCAACAAGGTCACATGAATGTTCATTTACCTTCTGTCTTGATTTTGGAATTGTTTGCAAAGCCGACTTTACCGCATCTAATGAATGTGTTTTTAGTGAGAAACGGGCAATCCAAAATATGTAAAATTATTAAAAAAATATTCTATCAATGTAGAAATTCATTGGTAGTTCAACTTTGATTCAACAGCTATGGAGTTACAATCTGAGACAATTTTTTTTATATCCAAATTGAATGTTTGATCAATAAATGCCTCAAAATCGATATGATTACTAAAATAAATTGATTTGTGGTCACTGGTAACACATAGTAAAGAGTAGGTCATTCAATTCAGTTTTTTCCGCTGTTTTTCGATATCAAACCAGATCTTCAAATATTTGATATACAAGGTGTTGTTTTTCGAATTACGGACCTGGATTCTGATTTCAATTTCCAAATGAATTCCATTGTGTAACATGGGTGGAATATCCCTACCAAGTATGAATGGATTATACAAAGGGATTCAAAAGTTATGACCACAAAAAGATTTTGCCAAAATCAAGATAACGTCCTGTATCTCAGTTATAAAAGACAGTAGACACAATAATAGGGGGCGATTTGGAAGCACCAAAGTGTCTTCTATCCACAGGTATCGTATGTACATTTAAATCTGAAACACCCTGTATATATTATCAAAATTATATTGGATTAGAAGCTACTTGAAATAGTTATTACAGATCAAACAATCTACCACCATTCCTGCATAGGATGTTTAAAATTTCAAGTATGAAAGAAATCTTTGAATACTTATTATTCCATTGAATCAGTCATCAAATAAATTGGTGAAATCACAATCATGAAGTGGGATCAATTACTTTTGAATGAGAAATAGCTGCCAGATGTTTTCATGACAAGGTCAAAATTCCAGAATCAACTTGTCTTGAAAATTGAATCAAGACTGTTATGCAGCCAATACCACATTATTTTCAAAATGAGAAACTTATTTGAAAAAGATAGATTGGATAGAGATAAAGTGTTTCAAATGTATTGGAAGCTATAATCATAAGAAAAAGTACTTACACTAGAAGTCGAGCTAGAAATATTCACAATACTCCTGGAATATCTTGTTGATGTTGAAGGTATAGGTGATAATTCAACATTTCCATCATCAGTTTCTTTTTCTTCCTGAAGAGAATATGAGTATATTTATATATTATCAAAATTATATTGGATTAGAAGCTACTTGAAATAGTTATCACAGATCAAACAATCTACCACCATTCCTGCATAGGATGTTTAAAATTTCAAGTATGAAAGAAATCTTTGAATACTTATTATTCCAATTCATTAAATAAATTGGTGAAATCACAATCATGAAGTGGGATCAATTACTTTTAAATGAGAAATAGCTGCCAGATGTTTTCATGACAAGGTCAAAATTTCAGAATCAACAACAAAATTGAATCAAGACTGTTATGCTGCCAATACCACATTATTTTCAAAATGAGAAACTTATTTGAAAAAGATAGATTGGATAGAGATAAAGTGTTTCAAATGTATTGGAAGCTATAATCATAGGAAAAAGTACTTACACTAGAAGTCGAGCTAGAAGTATTCACAATACTCCTGGAATATCTTGGTGATGTTGAAGGTATAGGTGATAGTTCAACATTTCCATCATCATCATCAGTTCCTTGTTCTTCCTGAAGAGAATATGTGTATATATATTATCAAAATTATATTGGTTCAGGAGCTACTTGAAATAGTTATTACAGATCAAACAATCTACCACCATTCCTGCATAGGATGTTTAAAATTTCAAGTATGAAAGAAATCTTTGAATATTATTCCATTGAATCAGTCATTAAATAAATTGGTGAAATCACAATCATGAAGTGGGATCAATTACTTTTAAATGAGAAATAGCTATACCAGATGTTTTCATGACGCAAGGTCAAAATTTCAGAATCAACTTGTCTGGACACTAAAAATATTTATGCAAGACCAGGCATAAAGTGGCACTATATCGCCCGGACTCGCGGTCGTAAAATAACACTTTAGCATCCTAGGGCGCTAAAGGAGTCCAGTGGGCGGTAAAGTTGTCCGGCGGACAGTAAAGTAATGTTGTTTTTCCAGTAATTCCTAGTAGACTACCATGGGATCTCTCTTTGCCAGTGGCATCCATAATTTGGCCAAATAAATTCAGTAGTATCAATAAATTACTATTAGAACTCTTGAACATCTTGGACTTAGATCAAATTGATCTTAGTATGGAAGTTTTAGCAACTGATATATGTTGGACCATTGGAGTGAAGAGGAGTTTTTATGCATATCAACTTGAATGAATTTTCAACAACTTCCTATCAAATTTTATAGAGATAGAAAATGAGAATGATAGTAATGTTCCTAATAAGAGGAATTCCCAAGGGAATTCTTGACAGATTATTGAGCAGATTCCACATAAATGATATAATTTTCCATGCATGTTGCTTCACACAGTAAATATGTATACATACCAATATTTGATGGGATGAATTTGATTTCCTCATACTCCTGATAATACCCCTCACATCATACAGTTTAGAGGCATCTAGGACCTCTTCCAATTCGCTATCAGGTACATCAACCTGACCATTGTACAGGAACTCTAGCAAGTATTCCATGATCTTTTTTGATGTACTCTCAAGAATGATACTTTCTTCATGTTTCGCTTCATTGGTGCTCAGGATATTCCAGAAATATCTACTTCCTGAACTCAGAACTATAGCATGAGCTTTTATTTTACCGTCTTTCAAGACGAGGGTAGTATCTACCATCTCTTGGTTGAGGAAATAGCAGTACAAGTTGGCACAAAGTTTAATGTGATGGGATTCTTCCCTAACTAGTGTTTCATTATCACACATGGTTAAGTCAAAGATTGTTAAGTTAATCTATTGAGAATATTGGATAGTATCCACAGGTATATTTAAATGCTTCTGCAATATTCATTCGATTCTGGTTTTTTCCTTAGTTCTTGTTGAAACGAGTTCTTTTTTCGCATTCAAAATAAACAGACAAAAAATTAATAAATATTATCTCCAGTGTTGCCGGACGCCCAGAATAAAATTTCCCAGCTGACCAACCAAAATATCCCGGTTTTTCCCGGTCATAATTTTTTTCTTGAATATATCAGATCTATGATTACTGTGCTGTATAGTAATAGAAAATAAATTGTTTCTTCAAACAAATAACAAACTTACCACCAATACCACCTTTTGATTGAAAATTTGAATTTCAAAAATGGAACATTTTGCCAATTATGATTTATGAAGAAAAAGTAATCAAACATGCACATCCAATTTTATTTCCATATAATCAAACATAAACAAATGAACTACATACCTATCTCATGAAAAACAGATAGATATGTATATCCCACTAAACATTGTAATGTTACAAAATATTGCCACAATATATTCGTCCATAATATGAAAATACAATATTGTATCAATTTTGCTGCTATATTCGTGTTGACAATATAACAGAAACACTTACTGACAAATCGTTTGTATGTTCAAAATGACCCTTTCAATCGAGTTCCACAATAGCAATATTGCACCAACTATATATATTCTCATTAAAATTGCAACATTACATGAATCAACTACGAACAATATCAGTGCAACGTTACATAATATGGAATTTTCAATTGTAATGTTGCATTAACATTGATACTTCATTGGGTTTTCAAATAACATAAGCTAACTACAAACAATGTAACTACAACTTATAGGATGCAACACATATTCAATTAAAAATTGTAATATAGCTGAAATATATAAAATGCTACATTGGGTATCGATCGAGAGACACCATTTCATGAAATGGCTACGCGCAGTCGCAAACTTTCAAACGACAGTCGCCATATTTGTTGTTGTTGTTGTCATTAATACAGCAAATAAATAATATACTTTGGAATATAAATTAAGGTATAGTGCTGATCTGGCGATATGTAATATCAGGCAGTCGGGAAGGTTTTGAATCGCAGTTAGCAGTTGATGGTTAGGTAATTCTGAATGTTGTAAAATTCAGACGACGTTCACTATAATTTTTCAAATGGAACACTCTGTATTTCTCATCACAGATTTATTTCGACATCATTCGCCTATTCATCGCTGGAATAAAAATTAAAATCGGTTGCGGCGTTTTCAAGTTATGAGTAATTTACTTATGTTTACCACTATCTCAGGGCTACTTATAAGGCATGGTCCCTTTATTTGATTTGATTTTGGGAATATTGCTTGCCACATGACAATCGAGGTTCTACATATTATGTGCATTTTCTAAATTTGAAATATTCCGTAATCTTGTTTCTTATATGATTTAAATAATATGTACCTATGTATGTGAAACAAACAAACATGCCAAAAGCAACGCCTGCCTTCAAAACAACTTCTACAATACAAACAATGGAGATTTGGATTGCGAGAATAAGGAAATCTTTTTGAACTTTGGACCACTTTTATTGACGTTATTCCCACAATCGAAATCTCCATTTAACTGGAAGGAGGTAAACTCTACATAATGATACAAATAATATTTCTTCACTACGCGGGCTTCGAGAGGGAATTCAGCAGAATTTTAAATAAATTCAAGATCATTACACAAATAATGGAAGTGTATTTCGCAAAATCAATTCATAGAATATACCATGCCAATTCATCAACATGACTCTTCAATACTGGTAGAAATCGATTTATCTATTATAACTTGGCAACGCCGCAACCGATTCAATTTCGTTTTACAGCGATGTGAAGGTAAACTTCGGCGGAATGAATTCCGAAGAAACAATACTGGCTGTTCCATTTAAAAAAACTCGTCTCCGAGTCCAAAATATTATAATAGGAATATTCCTGCAGGAGTATTCAAGATTGAATATTCTCAGAATATTCTAGTTGGATGGTTAAGGGAATATTCATGTATGAATGATCCTGGAATATTCCCATCCGAATATTCTGTGTTCTACATTTATGAAATATTTCTAACTGATTATTCTGTGATGTATATTCATGAAATAATCCATGAATATTCCCATGTTTTTCAATGAAATGGTATAGCGCAGGAACACCAATATTTATTTTACAGATGTGAGCATCAAACATTCATAGTATTCAGTAGTATTCCTGCAGGAGTATTCAAGATTGAATATTCTCAGAATATTCTAGTTGGATGGTTAAGGGAATATTCATGTATGAATGATCCTGGAATATTCCCATCCGAATATTCTGTGTTGTACATTTATGAAATATTTCTGATTTATTCTGTGATGTATATTCATGAAATAATTAATGAATATATGAAATGGTATAGCGCCGGAACACCAATATTTATTTTACAGATGTGAGCATCAAACATTCATTAAATGATTGGTAGATGTCCATATTATATTGCTCAAAGTGGAGTGACATTTTTCAATGGAAGGAAGTTACCACTGTATGTTATCCTTCCCGAATCGTGTTCAATTTGATGATAATAAATCCTTTTCATTATTTCAATAGCGAAGTCGTATAATATGTCTTGAAGCTTTTCAGTTTTCAATGCATTGCTTCTTGTTCAGTTGATATAGACAGAACATGGTATTTACTACTAAAATCGGAACATGAAAATGGTTAATTCAAGATTAATTAATGAAAACATCAAACATCCTGTACCTCATTTGATTGCCAACGTCACCAATTGTCATTGTAAACTGAATCTCTTCTCATGTTGAAAACGGGAGCAGAATCGGTCCCGAAACGTCCAAAGATAAGTGAAAATTTGATATTTTTTCTATATACCTTTATTTCACATCTTCTCCAAAATTTTTTCAATACAAATTGTCACTGACAAGCTAGTGAATTTTTCTTTTAGGCTCTCTGATAGGAAAATTTCTTTAGACGCAGTGACATTTTGGGGCAAATCATCTGATTTGTCCTTATATTACTACATTCATTCATTATTTCAAAATTTTTTCCATGGTTAGGCTTTCCACCTGATAGGGTGGTTATGGATGGGATGATCCCTGTAAAATTACTGGAGATAAAATGTCCATATATTGGTAAACTTTGTTTGTTTGTCATAACTAACTGTTTTATAAATATTATTTGATTTCAGGTAAAAGTCATGGCCCAGAAATATTCTGGGAAAATTGTGACTTTCTGGAAATCAGAAATTCAAAGGTGGAACTGAAAGTGAGGCATTCATACTGTGGACAGGTGCAGTTGGGGATGTTGCTGCTCAATTTACAGTCATCAGTTCTAGTTGTTTATTCTTCTTTCAAAAAGTCATATTTATCTTGAAATAACAGTTGATTTTGATCCAATATTTGCAGAACAACTGATGAAAACTGTCACAAAAAAATATTTTACCAAAATGATACATGTTTATTGTTTAAATAAATGATTGAAAATGCATCAAGAATGTTTTTTATTTCAATATGTAATATAAATACAACAATTTACAAGTTGATTGAATAAAAAAAAGTCAGAATTAAAGTGAACATTATAATCAAAGTACAAGTACCAAGGGAAAATTAGTAACAATTAATACTCTGAATTAAAACTTTCATTTATCAAATAATGTAATAAAATCCATTTAAATAGAAAAGATGAATATTGTATATTCCATAATATGATAACTCATAATGAATAGAATAAAATTTCCATTTCAACCTTGGAAGTAATTTTCAAATCAGTTATTCATTCCTAGAAAGAATTTAAGGAATGGGTTTATTCCAAAATAATAATACTCATGAATATAATATAATAATGCTCATAAATATAATAATACTCATACATATATGATCTGAAGTTAAAATTTTGTATCTGCCAAGTGCCAATATGGGACAAGACATACTCACAGTAACAGCAATCACAGTTATAACATCATCTATATAAGGTATGACATACCAGTCAATTTTGTCATTCAAAATTTTGAAGTTCTTTATTCTTTGTATAGCTCTTGCTCTACATGCACCCTTGCTCTAGCTATTTCTGCAGTAGTGGAAAGGTGGCTGAATTAATTTGATGAAATGACTTTGGCATTCTTCTTCAATGAGAACACCCTTGTCTGCCATGATTGCATCACATGGATCTAGTTTCACAATAAGATTTTCATTATTGAATATAGATTTATCTGAAGCACGCCCTCCATATGCAGGACTAATGTAAGAAATCAATCCAGATGGGGTAGTTCCTATCAGAAATTTCATGGAATGCATTCTTTTATAATGAGAATATGACAGAATCCTTCAGTTCAAACATTTCAATCTTTGTACTCTCACCTCAGTGCAGTCCAACACCACTCTGGTATTCCTGAAGGAAGCAAAATATCAAGGCATATTCTTCAGAACCTCTTCTTTTGTTGGGCAATAAATGCCTGGCTTTATACTAATAGCCAAAAGGCTGAGGATTGAATGAAACATTCTTGAACATGTTGTACTGCTTATTCCAAATAATACTGCCAAGCAAGCAAATATATATAAATTGAAATATCTAATATAATCAATCCTTCATTGAGGATTCATTCATCAGAAAATAAAATATTACCTGTGAAATGTATGAGCTTTCCATCTGAATTCAGGATATTATGTGGCAGTTCAAAGAAATCACAAAAATCTGTGTTGGTAGATTTATCCTCATTGAAAACATGAGTAAGTGCATCATGATAGGATGTTTTTGTATCAACAGTGGAATGTCCAGCAGGATTCATCACATTCTCACTCAAATGTAGTAGAGTGCATCTCTCATCAGGTTCACTAGATACTACCTCTACCTGCTCATCTTCATGGTGTTTGGTCTGCATTTCATTTCGAATCAATTTCTGCCTGAGTCTGAAATGAATTGAATATGATGTGAAAAATGTTATTATTTCTTCAGTTGTTTCTCACCTATTTTGGTTAATTCTCTTCCTTAATTCCTGCTGAATATGTGAGCACTGGAAGGTTCTGGCTAGGAAGAGATCCATTTTCAAGCGCTTTCTCTGTGTTGTTGAAGTCACTGTATTGGAAAATAACAAATGAATTCAAATGAAGTGAATGTGGTACCTATAGTACCTATGTACCAAATGACAACAGAATTAAAAATTATATGTGCAAGTCATAGAAATCAAATGTGCAAACCTCTGTAACAACACCTTCATCTTACCATTGAAAAAATCGTCTTTCACAAAGTGCTTGCTGCAAACAAACATTATATTTTGATATAGGTTTTCCCTTGGTTTTCCTATCTTCAGTATCAGTTTCCATTTTTTTATTTCTTTCAATGTTTTAATCTTTTAATGCACGAATAACTTAAAATAACATTCGAACTTCACATTACAGCCATATAAACAAATGAAAATAGAATTTTATTGTTCACACTGAGATCACACCTCGAGTCGTTCAAGTTGTCAAAGATAGATGTCGCTCACTCCGTGATTTTTAAGAAGCAACAGTTGAAATTTCTCGCGGGCACGCAACCGTCCTGCTTCTCCGTTTCCCACATGACCGGATCGGGCCAATCAGATCGCCGTTTCCGGCGTTGGTTTGGTGACGTCAATTTTGTTATAAATAGCAACCGCCGGCACTACCAGCCGGCACAAATTCGTCAATCGTCAATCTATAAGTTCGTTTGGAAGGATGGAGGATCCATCACTAGCTTGTTAACGTTAAACTTTTCTCTTTTGTGGTGAATTTGTAAATAATCTGCAAACAAAATGGTGAGTACGATTCCTATAAAATATTCTTGTTTTATTATTTCGATAACATGTATCTGAATTATTGGGAAGAAAAACATGGCTTTTCGACGTGTATCCATTACCACCGGTAAAAAATTGCCAGCCATTTTAGTTTCAGGCACGTGCTTCACATATTCCCCATTTTTTTCACAATAATTTAAATATCAGTCATAAGGGAATTTGTACGGGCGGAAATATGAGTACCTATCGGAAACTATGGAATATAAAATAAATGGTAATTTTGCACTTTCCACTAACACCGGTAAAATTGGCAGCCATTTTAGTTTTAGGCACGTGCTTCACATAATTCCCCATTTTTTCACAATAATTTAAATATCAAGTCATAAGGGAATTTGTACGGGCGGAAATATGGGTACCTATCGGAAACTATGGAATATAAAATAAATGGTAATTTTGCACTTATCATGCGATGGGTTTTTTTTCGAAAATTTTTTTTGGTTCTTACGTATTTTTGTCTGAAAAACACGAATTTGATAATGAAAATGTGAACAAACCAATATTTATCGAGATATTTCAAGAAAAAGTTCGAAATTTTACCTTCTTTTCCCCCTTGTGTTGGATGCATTTACAGGTACTTGCTCTTTTTATTTTGTCATTGGACACTTTATATACTCATGATGTACTTCAATGACACATTTTAAGATAGAAAAATCGACAGGAAATAGATTTTTTCTCCGATTGGCAGCAAATATTAATTTTGCTGACACATATCAATCAGCAAGGTATTACTTTTCCTGCCTAGGCAGCAAAGTGGTTACTTTGCTGATTGATATGTATCAGCAAAATCAATAATCCTTAAATCGTTTATAATTTCCTTCATATTTCATTCGAGACTTCTCCGGCAACAAATTCAACTCCACCTCCCTTATTTCTGGAGGTGTGAGTACTTCCAGGTCAGGTCGCTATCACTGTCCATTATATAATAATTTGAATATACCGATATTTTTTCGCACAACTGTCAGAATTTTCATGAATTGTCAAACTATAATTATCATGGACAACTGCGATTTCTATCAAATTTCATTTTAATTGAACACTACAGGAGAAATAAAGAGATTGTGGAAATTTTATTAATTTGCAATTACAATATCCTCCTATATCATTATGAACAATCGGAGAAAAAATTATATGTTCAACTCGGCAGCAAAGTAGTAGATTGACTGCCGAGGGCTGAATTCATAGCCGAGCGTAGCGAGGCTAGGAATCCAGCTAAGGCAGTCAATCTACTACTTTGCTGCCTAGTTAAACAAATAACTATTTATGGTGAGTTTATTCTATTTAGTGAGCAAGCATACCAGATGACGGCCATTTAATCCATAGGCAATCCAAATACGAGATGTAAAATGTCAATAGATTGCTTTGGAATGACACTACACACGCCATTATTTCAAATGATATTCTTCCTTCTTTTCATTAAATATGGATGAATCACATAAAAATCATATTTCAAGTAGACTCATATAATAAAAAAAAATGTGTAAAACATTGTGTGATATATACAGGGTGATCCACGGTGGATGGCCTATTAGAAGTATCTGGAGAACGAAAAGACAGAACATTCTGAAAATTGGGATCCTTCGATAATTGAACATTCTCTATCCGTTTAAAATATTTTCATCGATACAGTGTTGCCACTTCTATTAGAAACAACCAGCAACTTTGTTATGTCCAATGGAACAACCTGTATTTTATTGCCTTTTTAGATTCTTCCTGAAGAGCTGATTTCATCAATATATCACACTTGGGGTCTAGCAAGAATGATTACAGAGATATAGGGTGTTCAAAATCCAGATTTTTCAATTTTAATATTTTTTTGTGTCGAAACTATTCATTATCGATCAAAACGGCTTACATGTCCCTATCTTAACTTTTGATTCACTATCCACTGGAATTTAATTGTAAAAAATACAGGGTGCTTTAAGATCCAGAATTCTGATCACCCTGTATCTGTTCCAATTAAATGTCCGTAGACAGTGAATCGAAAGTTAAGATAGGGACATGTAAACCGTTTTGATCGATAATGAATAGTTTCGACACGAAAAAATCTCAACATTGAAAAATCCTGATTTTGAACACCCTATATCTCTGTGATCATTTCTGCTAGAACCCAAGTGTGATACATTGATGAAATCAGCTCTTCAGGAAGAATCTGAAAATGTAATAAAATACAGGGTGTTCCATTTGAAATAACAAAGTTGCTAACTGTTTCTGATAGAAGTGGCAACACTGTCTCGATGAAAATATTTTAGACGGAAAGAGAATGTTCAATTATGGAAGCATCCCAATTTTCAGAATGTTCTGTCTCTTAGTTCTATAGATACTTCTAATAGGCCATCCACCGTGAATCACCCTGTATAAATTGTCTAATGATGGAAAAAGAAGGGCAAATTGTTCTAAATGCGATCCAGAAGACAGGGGAAAAAAAGGTGAAATTTGTAACTTTATAGTGAAATATCTTGATAAATAATGGTTTGTTCACATTTTCATTATCAAATTCGTGTTTTTCACACAAAAATACGTAAGTACAAAAAAAAAATTTGAGCAATGTTCATTACACTTACTTGCCAGGTTAGCATGGTATTTATTTTCCCTAATAAAAAACTAACCCATGAGTCCGGCAAAAATATATTTTTTTCATATACAGGGTGTCCGCTAAAAGGAGGTCAATCCATTAACCACATATTCCTTGAACGAAAACAATATGAGTTTCTAAATATCATTTTTCATTTAAGCCCTTCATATTCGGTATACAGGGTGTCAAAGTTGGAAATTAAAAACTGTTTTTTTTTTCTTCTAATTACTCGCGTATTTGATAAGATATTAATCTCAAAATTGGTACATTACTTCAGCACAAAGAGTTACATCGTGTGGGGAAAACAAAACAGAAAATAACTGTCAAATATTCAAGATACTTGAAGATACTGGGGGTCAAGTTCACACTTACCCCCATATTTTGTTTGTACGTGCGCTAATGACTTCCTATCTATTTTCCTTCAAGTGTTCAATCATATTTGAGTATTTTTTGTTTCCTGTAAAATTTCGATTGAATCATTTGTTTTTAAGATAATTCGAAAAGTACTGGTTATTGTTTGATGCCTATGCGGCTTAGGTAATCTCATAATGTTCACATACTCCTATTTATTTCGTCGAAATTGAAAGAGGGCGTATCTTTTTACGTACGAAAAGGTAAATATGGAAATACCGGGTGCTCGGAGCAAATGTACTAAAATAATTTTTACAAAAAAAAAATAATAAAAAGTGTAAAAATTATTTTAATACATTCGCTCTGAGCACCCGGTATTTCCATATTCACCTTTCCGTACGTAATAAGATACGCCCTCTTCCAATTTCGACGAAATAAATAGGAGTATGTGAACATTATGAGATTACCGTAAGCCGCAAGGCATCAAACAATAACCAGTACTTTTCGAATTATCTTAAAAACAAATAATTTTATCGGAATTTTACAAAAATCAAAAAATACTCAAAAATAATTGAACACATGAAGAAAAATAGATAGGAAGTCATTAGCGCACGTACAAAAAAAATATGGGGGTAAGTGTGTACTTGACCCCCAGTATTTTGAATATTTGACAGTTATTTTCTGTTTTGTTTTCCTCACACGATGTAACTCTTTGTGCTGAAGTAATGTACCTATTTTGAGATTAATATCTTATTAATTACGCGAGTAATTAGAAAAAAACAGTTTTTAATTTTCAACTTTGACACCCTGTATATCGAATAAGAAGGGCTAAAATGAAAAATGGTATTTAGAAACTCATATTATTTTTGTTCAAGGAATATATGGTTAATGGATTGACCTCCTTTTAGCGGACACCCTGTATAATATGACCATTTCATTCATATCATATTCGTAGGTAATATCCCGAGACCATGACAAATAGCCTATTATTTTCTTCATAATTCTATCGAGAGTATTTTGACAATTTGATGAGACCATATGAACATTAAATATGAATACCTAACTGCCGAGAGCTTCAGCTCGAGGGAGTTATTCTATGATTATTTATTCAAGTTATTCAGTATATCAGTTATTTCAAATGGAACACCTTGTATTTCATTGCATTTTTAGATTTTTCCTGAAGAGCTGATTTCGTTTATGCCTCACACTTGAGATCTGTATTTCTCATCTTTTTTTGTGATTTATTCTTTTACTTCACGTTTTGCTGGTTTTTAAGTCTTTTTTATCATTTGTTTTTATCTATATAGCACCTATTTACATTAGAGTTGATGTTATTGGTATTTGCAAAAATAACCTGCCAAAAATGTATACAGGGTATGTCACGACGAGCTTACACTCTTTATGTCGAGAATCAGTCGGGATAAATTCATGAAAATGTGCATGTTTTTCAAAATACACTCTTCATTTAACATATTTTCGACAATTCAGTGTTGCCGCTTCTACTAGAAGTTAGTAGAAACATGATTATTTCAAATAGAACAGCGTGTATTTTATCACATTTTTAGATTTTTCCTGAAGAGCTGATTTCATCCATGTATCATACTAGGGGTCTATCGAAAATGATTACAGTGATATAGGGTGTTCAAAATCGTGATTATTCAACTTTATGATTTTTTTGTGTGGAAACTATTCATGATCGGTCAAAACGGCTCACATGTCCCTATCTCAAGATTTGATTAACTATTTACTGATATTTAATCGGAACAGATACAGGGTGGTTCAAGATTCAAAATTCTGATCACTCTATATCTGTTCTGATTAAATATCAGTAGAGTAAATCAAAAGTTGAGATAGGGGCATGTAAGCCGTATTGGCCGATAATGAATAGTTTCGACACAAACAAATCCTAAAATTAGTGTAGAGATAGTGTAAGCTAGTTGTGACATACCCTGTATAACATAACATGGTTAAATACATTATCTATCATCTATCTATCTATCTATCTTGTTAGCCCTCATTAATCATGTATTTATCAAATGAAAACATCTCTTATGTATACAGGGTGTCCCATAAGTAATGGATCAAGAAAAGTGGGGTGGTAGGGGAGGTCATTTACAATCAAACTGACGGTATATGTGGTTACCAAATTGTTGATAGTTGAAAAGCTATTCAACTTTTCTGAGAAACGGCGACTCATTTGGTAAAATTGGTAATAAAAAGGCTGTTTTGAATAACCCCATATCTCGCCCCCATATGTTATACCATTTTGGAATCTGTATTGAATGGGCAACTTTTTCTAATAATTAGTTATCTTTATGGGGTAGTTCTTAAATCTGCCAGCTGCATTTGAAAATCACCTTAAATATTTCATTAAATGACAACTCAAGGAAAAAAACATTTTTCTCGGGTTATTGATATGAAGTTACACATGCCATGACATTATTTCTGGGAGAGGTGCATTCACGTGGATATAATTTTTTGAAGAAAAAATCACAAGTGTGACATAGTTTTATTGCAATAATTTTTTTTTAAAGAATTCAAGAAATTCAATAATTACTTTTGAATTGAACCATCAACAATAATTGGATAACCACATACAATAAATAATGGTGGAAATGTATGGAATAAATTCATTATCTCTAACGCATATGAATTTGAAAAAAAATCCTGAGACAGGTCGATTTTTATTTTTAAATTGACACCTTTTGATATACATCCGGAGTTTGTAACGTCATCCGCGTATAGGTGTGGTGACGTCATCGATTATTTTTTTAAATGGAAACACCCTTCTTTTTTCTTTTCGGAAGGTATATTCACTGTCTATCCAACCATATACTGATATTAGCAAAATAATGTAATATAGTGTGAGAAAATTTTTCTATTCATTTTATATTTACAACGGAAACCGTTACAATATACCTATGTTCGAATTGGTGACCTTCTGCAATGATACAATGATACAATCCTCATCAATCACCATATACATTGTTTCTGATGTAAACAGGTCGAATTTTCATTTATTGTAATTGTTTCCGTTGTAAATATAAAATAATTAATAATTTTTTCTCACCCTGTATTACTTCAGTTTGCTAATATCAGTTTACGGTTGGATAGAAAATAAATATACCATCCTAAAAAAATGAAAAAGGGTGTTTCTATTTGAAAAAGTTATCGATGACGTCACGACGTTACAAACTCCGTATGCATATCAAGAGGTGTCAATTTGAAAATAAAATCGACCTGTCTCAGGATTTTTTTTTCAAATTTATATGCGTTAGAGATAATGAATTTATTCCATACATTTCCACCATACTGTATTTGGTTGGTTTGATTGGAAATGACCCTCCCTACCACCCCACTTCTTTTGATCCATGACTTATGGATCACCCTGTATACCCCCAATAATAGTAGATTGTTTTATTGGGATCAAAAGTGACACTTTGTTTGACAAGCGAATTTTGCATTTGCGAAAGCAAAATTTGCGAGTCGAACAAAGGCACTTTTGATCCGAATGAAACATGCTATTTTTTCTGCAACCGAAACAATTAACTAAAATAAACATATGAAGTAACCACCAATGCCGTGCCATATGAATGCAATGCAACAAATATTGACAAATAATCCGTGTGGTCAGAATATTCTATCTGCATTAACAGCAGGTTAGGTTTTCAAGGATGTTCGAATTGTAGTTTCAATATAAATACAACCACAGAGTGACATATTTGTGTATGGACCAGGTGCTCTAATGGCAAATATCGCGCCAGTGCCAGCTATAGGAACAAGACGTGCAAAATGTTAGGTTAGTGAGCATATCAACAATGATAATAGTGATTATTTATTCCTCTCCATACTACACTGTGTTTGACTTGATAATCAAATGAAGCTAAACAATATCGTTGTTTGAGACAAAAAAAAACTATTACTTGCCGTGATTATTCAAAAACAAATTATCCATCCCGGGAATAATACTTAACTGAGATGTTTATAATTTCAATACTAAACTATAATAAGGTGTATATCTCCAGCATGGGTATGAAATGCCAAATCTGCTGAAATCGGAAACAAATCAAGTATGCGTCTCAACCCAAATAACCAACTATCACAATGTTGTTTATTCTTGATGACACGTCCAGTACATTCTTTTTTTCTGCAACCGACACAAAAGTCGTCCATTTTGATACCAAAATTAGCTCTTAAATTGACGTTTCTATTACTGACACAAAAATAGGTATGTTGCTAGGCAACATATTTAGTTCCTAGGAGCTAAGGTTGAATTTTAGTTCCTAGGAGCTAAAGTTGAACTTCAGCTCCTAGGAACTAAAAAGGATGTACTAGATGTTATCAAGAATAAACAACATTGTGACGGTTGGTTATTTGGGTTGAGACGCATTCCTGATTTGTTTCCGATTTCAGCAGATTTGGCATTTCATACACATGCTGGAGATATAAATACAGCTTATTATAGTTTAGAATTGGAATTATGAACATCTTAGTTAAGTATTTTTGTTTTGATCAGGGAAGCCTTCAAGATTCAAATACTTGCTTGATATGTGTTTCATTCGTTATTCTCGGGATGAATAACTTGTTTTTGAATAATCACGGCAAGCAATAGTTTTTTTTGTCTCAAACAACGATATTGTTTACCTTCATTTGATTATCAAGTCAAACACAGTGTAGTATGGAGAGGAATGAATAATCACTATTATCATTGTTGATATGCTCACTAACCTAACATTTTTCACGTCTTGTTCCTATAGCTGGCAGTGGCGCGGTATTTGCAATTAGATCACCTGATGGTCCATACACAAATATGTCACTTTGTGGTTGTATTTATATTGAAACTACAATTCGAACATCCTAGAAAACCTAACCTAGCTGCTGTTAATGCAGGTAGAATATTCTCACCACATGGATTATATTTGTCAATATTTGTTGCATTGCATACATATGACACGGCATTGGTGGTTACTTCACATGTTTATTTGAGTTAATTGTTTCGGTTGCAGAAAAAATAGCATGGTTCATTCGGATCAAAAGTGACTTTGTTAGACTCGCAAATTTTGCTTTCGCTCGGCTTCGCTAAACGCTCCGCCTAGCAAATGCAAAATTCGCTTGTCAAACAAAGTGTCACTTTTGATCCTAATAAAACAAGAAACTAAGATTCAACTTTAGCTCCTAGGAACTAAATTTGTTGCCTAGCAACATACCTATTTTTGTGTCAGTGATAGAAACGTCAATTTAAGAGCTAATTTTGGTATGAAAATGGACGACTTTAGTTGTGTCGGTTGCAGAAAAAAGACTTAACTTAGCCGATTCTCCCCTTTCCTTTGCCAGATCGGTAACGCCTGCCGGGAGCTGTACTGTCTGGAACATGGCATCCGCCAGCCCGACGGGCAGATGGCCTCCGACAAGACCGTGGGCGGCAGCTTCAACAACGCCTTCTTCAGCAAGACGGGGGCGGGCAAGCACGTGCCCAGGGCCGTGTTCGTCGATTTGGAGCCCACTGTTGTAGATGAAGTGAGGACAGGGATCTACAGGCAGCTGTTCCACCCGGAGCAGTTGATTACTGGGAAGGAGATTGTGGATTTGGTTTTGGACAGGATTAGGAAGCCTGCTGACCAGTGCAATGGACGACTACAAGGTAATAAATAATTTAACTTTATTGGATAGCCAACAGACTACTCAGGCATTATCATTGCTTTTACAATCATCATTTTCATTATTGCATTTTGTGCTGAATTGCTGAAGCATTCCAATGTTTTTTCTGGGTTCACTGACCACTGTTAGTTGTGCCTCAGTAAACGAGAAACAGTAGAATTGGATAATTTTCAAGGAGAGCTTTCTCAGTTTCTCAGGAATTGTGTACCCGGGATTGTAAGGAAATTTTGAAGGTGCCGGATTTTAGTGATGGCTGTCATTAATTAACAAATGTGTACAGATCATTTTATATTGGTGAACTAAAGTCTTCATTGCTATTACAAGTTGGGTATTGAGTGGGTGAAAAAACAAATGGAATCATTTATTGAGTAATGATTAGTTTTTTTGAGTTTATGTTTGAATTTGATAGGATTTCTGCCATTTTTTATATTATCCAGCAATTAATTTTCAAATAGAGCAGAGTTAATTATTTTTGTCTTGAGTTAGCAGCATCATGATGAAATAAATCTTGTTGTCTAGTTTGGTGATCATGAGGCTCATAGTTTCTTGGTGAAATAAAGTTGGATATCAATATAATATTGTTTGATATTGTATGAAATGTGTGTACTTTGAAATTTGAACATTTTTATTTCTTGGAAAAAAAAGAGATATGGGAAAACACTTTTGAGAAAATAGGAGTTTCTACTGTTCATTGACAAATTAGATAATTGATATAAATAACCATTAGCAACAATGGATTTTCAAAGTGAATTTCAATTTTCTGGAAGAAGTCCGAATTATTATACCACTTTGATATACAGTGTGACCCACTTCAAATGGAAACACCCATGTTATCTTACCTGATAGTTGGGTCAGGATCCTGAAATTTGCTGGAGCGAGATATCTCTACCAAAAATGCACTTTATGACCCTGTGGGGTCATTTTCAGTGATATACACTGCTCGCCAACAGCCATGGAACCTCCCCAATTTCCGGAAAATGATACTAGGGAGTCAAAATAGATTGAAAATCGCTTCGGATTCGGAATCAGGCACGCCCAATTCACTAGTTATTCATAGTTTTCCTAATGAATTTTCAGTTCAGAAAAATCAAATTTTGTCCCACTTCTCATGGAAGCACCCTCGTATCTCACGTAAATGTTGAGGTAGGGTTCTGAAATTTGCAGGAGAGAAAGTCCAAAGATAAAGTTGATTAACAACGGTGATTCCGTAAAAAGTGCGACAAAATTCGATTTTTCAAAACTGAAAATTTTCCAGGAAAAATATGAAAAGTTAGATTTTTGACCTATTTTGACTTCTAATATCATTTTCCGGACATTGGGGTGGTTCCATGGCTATTGGCGAGCACTGTATATCACTGAAGATGATCCCACTAGGTTATATAGAGTGCATTTTTGGTTTATATCCTCGATTTTTCCTGTCAAACAAAAATGGTGTATTATACACAGGAAAAATATTAGATTTTGGCTCTCGGTTTGTCGTCTTCCTCCTCATCTGGAGATAACACAACCTGGAGCTAAATTATTATACAATTTTTTGCCCTTGCATAATAAATAACCATTTAATTGGGCATGAAAAGTTAGGTAGGTACAGGGTATCCCACATAACATGGGCCAGCCCATTATCTAGTAAACTGAGAAGTTCAAGAGATACGAACAAAATTGGGGAATCTGAGTTGTTCATAGTCATATGATTTCTCTTTTTCAGATAATGTCAACTATACCGGATTATCCATATACAAATTCAATTCTCAATTCCTTTTCAATCTATTCTAGTGGCCCATGTTATGTGGAATAGCCTGTACATGCACAAATCTTTGTTATTTCATTATGAAGGATTTCAAGTATATTCATGAAAGACTTCATCTCAGGCTTGCCTTCAGGTGGTTCTAACTCCCTAAGGGGCCATTTCTGGACTCCTATTTATACAGTGTGTCCCAGCCAAGTGGCATAAATTCTGTTCATTGCATTATAGAAAAATGGATTTTCTTGTCTCAAAATAGTGGTGATGACAAAAATTCACAGATACCTTTTCAAGGCAAAACTAATTATGGATGGATAACCCTGTACATTTGTCTAGAATAGGTCTTTTCATTTAGATGACAAATGACAATCGTTGTTTACATCTCGCCTCCAACGACAGTGGCGGCGAAATTTTTTTAAAGGAATTATTCAAATTATTGTTGTTGACATTGACATTTCTCATTTAATGTTGATCAGGAGAATAATGTCCATGCAGAAGAAAAATCAAATTAATATCATGTTGAAGAAAGCAGGAAATAATGAAACAAAATGTACACAAGGTTTCTACAGCAGAATGATCAAGTAATAATAGTTTTCATCTAGTTTTTATTCTCCACTGAGCACCATTGACGACATGAAAAATAAAAATACAACTTTACCAGGAGCCTCTCATTCTCAATGAAACAACTCTGTGGCTTAATTTACCGAAATGAAGGGAAAGTCTCACTACCTGATTCAGGTAATATGTGGTAGGTCCAATCTACATGATATATTTTTTTGAATGTAACTATACACTCTCAATCTGGAGGCTTATTTTCCATGCTGTTACTGTAAGTGGTAGCGAAGCTAATGACTATTGAAGTATGTAGCAAAGGTTCAGTTCAGGAGGAACATTCTGATATTGGTGTGCATGGAATTATTTGGAGGCTTCTTGATGCTGTTACCTGTTACTGTAAGCGGAAGGGAAGCTATAATGACTATTGAAGTATGTGGAAAAGGTTCATCAGTTTAGGAGGACAATTTTAATATTGGTGTGCATGAGAGTTTTAATATCAGGCATTGATGTTATACAGGGTGTCCCTAAAAGGTGCGGAAAAAAAGCTACCACAAGTTCCTGAGGCGTAAATATGACGATCTAACTCAACTTACCTCAGTCCAAAAGTGCATGATTTCAGAGATACTGAGTGTCAAAAGTTCAATTTGATTTTCATTTTCTATAAATATTTTTTTTAATAATTGGTGTATTGTCACAATATTTGGCTTGAGGGGGTTTTGCTGGTTGAGAAATTAGAATTTGCTATCATTTTTATTGTGAAGTCAAGGGGGCGCCACCTGCGGAACCTTGCACACATTTAAAACGAAATAACTTTTTTGAGCCACCCCATATTTAATTTTTAAATGAAAATTCGGATTGTCCAACGTATTTTACATAAAAAATGTATACTTGGTAAGAGTTGATATGAGCAGCTGTTTTTGAGATATCTGGATTTTAAAAATTCACTTCGTAAATGGCCAGGTCTAAATTATTGTAATAATAAAATTGAACACATTTGAAGAGTAGGCGGTGAATTAGAATAACGTCACTTAAAACTGACTTGGGTCAAATCGAATCAAAAAAACAAGTCAGGACAATTGTCCCCTGATTTGACACCGATGGTGTATTCTAGGCCAGTAAATACAGAAGATGATTTAAGGAGACGTATTGAAACTGAAATTGACGCTTTAAGAAATGATGACGGAATGCTCCAAAGTGTTCAATTCAACTTTTTGAAAAGTATTAATCTTTGTACACACGAAAATGGAGGTCATTTTGAACATTTTTTGTTAAAATCATTTTTTTAAATTAAATTAAATTAAACTTTTGTTGTTGATAAATCTCCTATTCCTATTCCTAATGACTATTTTCACTAGAGAATAAAATTACCAACACATTTATGTACCTACTTCTTTTTTTTTTCTAAGTTTCTAGTGACGTTATTTTAATTTACCGCCTACGCTTCAAATGTGTTCAATTTTATTATTACAATAATTTAGACCTGGCCATTAACGAAGTGAATTTTTAAAATCCAGATATCTCAAAAACTCTTACCAAGTATACATTTTTTATGTAAAAGACGTTGGACAATGCGAATTTTCATTTAAAAATTAAATATGGGGTGGCTCAAAAAATTTCGTTTTAAATGTGTGCAAGGTTCCGCAGGTGGCGCCCCCTTGACTTCACAATAAAAATGATAGCAAATTCTAATTTCTCAACCAGCAAAACCCCCTCAATCCGATATTGTGACAATACACCAATTATTATTAAAAAAAATATTTATAGAAAATGAAAATCAAATTGAACTTTTGACACTCAATATCTCTGAAATCATGCACTTTTGGACTGAGGTAAGTTGAGTTAGATCGTCATATTTACGCCTCAGGAACTTGTGGTAGCTTTTTTTCCGCACCTTTCAGGGACACCCTGTACAAAGGGAGTAGTTCAGTAATAATTTTTATTATTTATATTTTGAATAAGTACTTATTACATAAGATTTTGCTCTCAATTTTGTATACTTCCATACCAGAACTCCAACAGTCAGAACATTTCTGCTTGGACTTGGAGCGCCTCTCCGTCGACTACGGCAAGAAATCGAAGCTCGTGGAGCCCTACAACTCCATCCTGCCCACGCACACCACGCTGGAGCACTCGGACCGCGCCTTCATGGTCGACAACGAGGCTATTTATGACATTTGCAGGAGGAATTTGGATATCGAGAGGCCCACCCACTTACACCAACTTGAACAGCAGGCTCATTGGTAAGTTTGGGACGGTTGAAAGGACTAGAGTCCGGACACAAAACTGACAGCCGTTAGGGTTTTTAATATTTTGTTTCATTTGGTTTGCCCACCTGACAATGTGACGAAACACCATAGTCGTCTCGCCCGCTTTCTTTAATTATTTCGAATTTCTGTCACTGTCACTTTGAAATTTTATGACCGCCAAAATTTTGCATTTTAAATTATGTCAATGTCCTGCTGCGTACATCATTGCGATGATTCATTAGAAAAGGGATTCAAGTTATTCAATTCTTCGAATGATCCTTCAAAGATAATGTCATGGAAGAATGCAATGAAACGTCCAGAATGGAAAATTAATTTCAAGAAATTCGCAATATGTGAGGTAAATATTCGAATTCACTTGTAAAAACAGTACAAAAAAGATGAATCAAGCTGATGGATTTCAAATTGAAAGAGTCTGCTGTGCCGTCAATCTCTTCAAGAAAAGAGTTCCGTCGTCATCGTATTGGGAATTACTGAATAATACGATCGCAGAGAAAGAAAATGAGATGATGCGGAGAGAAATTGAAAGTTTGAAATCAAAACTAGAAGATTCAGGGAAATTGCAATGTGCTATGTCATCAGTCCACGGTGTTTTCAATTCAGATCAAATTAAAGAATTTATTGGTGAATGTAGACTGCAGGAAAAGGTGGGAAACCGACACAATCAAAATTATATTGGAACAATTATATTTCTTCTATTTTTTTATATTCCAACAGAAAACAACTATATTTTCTTGGCTATATGTGATACCACGTAGAACACTTAAATTATCTATTTTATATCTAATGAAGGAAGGAAATATCTGATGACGAAAATTTGCAATAGCCATCTCAGGAATTGATTACAAAAATTATCGATTCGAAATTTGAACACCCTGTTGTTCATTATTTGAAAATCTAATAGTTATTCTAGTTAGAATAGCCCTATTTCTCTCTTCTACCTACGGCTATGAACGGTTTGACAAATAATCTAACCCTCAAAATTGTTTCTGACAATCATTGATACTAGGGGAATTGAAAAGACAGAGCTCGATATATATGTCTTATTCCTTTATTTAATCATCAATGCATTTTTTGAAAACAGAAAAGGACAGAAGTATAGCTGTGTCCGGACTCTTGTCTAAGGTATATACAGGGACTCTAGAAAGGACCACGCACACATTATATGGGAAAATAAATGTCTTTCGGTGAAAATGGCTGGATTTTTGATATGTTGTAGCTGAAGTCATTCTGAGTAAAAGACTCCAATTGGCCCAACTCGATCGTATGACAAGATTCGGCGCTAGAGGGTGAAACATCATGAATTTTGTGTATTTTTGAGATTGCCGAGCTCAATGAATAATATGAAAATCTCGTGATATGGATTCATCCCAAAATAAAGATTGATAATATGCGGTAGGGAGGGAGCTATTGAGATTGGTTAAAGGGCACAGAAAATATGCAATAGCCTTTTTACAGGGTGGTTTTCAGAGAATGAGAATGCATTCGCCGTCTTGGCTGATTCATTGATCAGAATGAACATTGTCCGGAAAAACAGAATATATTATAATCATTAATACAGAGTAATAAGAATATCAGGAGATACCAATAAATGTCCTCTGCACCTTTTTTTATGAAATATAACTAGAAGATTCACGAACACTGTCTACTTTGCCGTTATATCCGTATGCAAAAAATCCATGTTTTTTTTTTTCGAGAGGAATTCGAAAGAATAATGGAATGTTATGATATATTAAGCCAATGTATACAGGGTGATCCACGGTGGATGGCCTATTACAAGTATCTGGAGAACGAGAAGAGAGAACAGTCTGAAAATTGAGATGCTTTGATAATTGAACATTCTCTATCCGTCTAAAATATTTTCATCGATACAGTGTTGCCACTTCTATCAAAAGCAACTAGCCACTTTGTTATTTCAAATACACCCTGTATTTTATTGCATTTTTAGATTTTTCCGGAACAGCTGATTTCATCAATGTATCACACTTGGGATGGTGTATAGCAGGAATGATTACAGAGCTATAGGGAGTTCAAAATCGAGATTTTTCAATTTTAGGATTTCTTTGTGTCGACACTTCTCATTATCGATCCAAACGGCTTACATGTCCCTATCTGAACTTTTGATTCACTATCTACTGGAATTTAATTGGGAAAAATACAGGGTGCTTCAAGATTCGGAATTCTGATCACCCTGTATCTGTTCCAATCAAATGTCTGTAGATATAGGGACACGTGAGCCGTTTTGATCGATAATGAATGATTTCGACACAAAAAAATCCTAAAATTGAAAAATCTCGATTTTGAACACCCTATATCTCTGTAATCATTCCTGCTAGCCCCAAGTATAATACATTGATGAAATCATCTCTTCAGGAAGAATCTAAAGATGCAATAAAATACAGGGTGCTCCTTTTAAAATAACGAAGTTGCTAGTTGTTCCTGATAGAAATGGCAACACTGTATCGATGAAAATATTTCAGAGGGATAGAGAATGTTCAATTATCAAAGCATCCCAATTTTCAGAATGTTCTGTCTTTTCGTTCTCCATCAGATACTTTTAATGGGCTATCCACCTTGCTTGCATGTACAGGGTGGCCAACTAAGACTCCAGAGTTCGACTTCCCTGTTGTCGTCTTGAGAGGTACAAAAAAAAATCATGTATCAACATTGAAGTAATAACCGAGCTTCACATTTCAAAATTTCTTTGAAATACACAGGGTGTTCCGTAAGGTCACAGCACATCAAAGCTATGTTTTTTTTATTGGGACACCCTATATTTCATTTCATTTTTGAATTCTCCCTGAAGATCTGATTTCAACGACCCATCATTCTTAGGGTCTAGCAGTGAAAGTTACTGACATATAGGGTGTGCAAAATCGATATTTTCCAAGTTCAGGATTTTTTTCTGTCGAAACTGTTCATTATTCGTCAAAACGGTTTACACGTCTCTATCTCAACTTTTCACTATCAATTGGTGTTCAATTGAAATTGATACAAGGTGGTCAAAAAATAAAAATTTATAATTTGTTTCAATTAATGTCAATTGAACACCAATTGATAGTGAGTGAAAAGTTGAGATAGGGACATATAAACCGTTTTGACGAATTATGCACAGTTCCCAGTCAACACACGGACATTCGATGGACATCCATTGGACGTCCATTTAGGATATTTGGGATATCCAGAGAATATCCAGTGATATCCGATGTATATCTTATGGACGTCCAATGGACGTGCCGAGTGGAAGGAGTTGGACTTCTATAGGATATCCTTCAGGGACATCCATAAGACATTTTTCTGGGATATCCATAAGATATTGTTCACAAATATCCATAAGACATTTTTCAGGGATATCCATAAGATATTGTTCACAAATATCCATGAGATATTTTTCAGGGATATTTACTAAATATCCTTAACAATATAGAACACCATGTATATTATTCCATAATGAATTAGGAACTATTATAACGAATTCAACGGTACCGGATTGGATAGGGTTATTTCAAACGATTAGGAAGATATTTGCATTCGAAGTTTTCATATGCTCATTGAGGATATGGAAATGTGAATATCCTCCTAATCGTTTGTAGAAATCCTATCAAACACAGTATCGTTGAATTCGTTATGATTATGGAATAAAATACAGGGTGTCCCGTTTGAAAATGCCATCCTCGGTTAAAGTGCCAGTTATGAAGCAAACATGTAGGTACATACAACACAAATAAATAGTTGATCTTTGTGACATTTATTTGAAAAGTACAACTACCAAGGACAGGTTTGACATTTCCAGAAAAGAAGTTGCTCGTCCACCCTGTTTGTGATAGGAAAATTGAGAATATTCATTATGTTTCATATAACTGGTCTCTTCATTTTTTTCTTGAAACAGGGCATCCCATCTATAATAGGAATACTGATTGTATTAGTCCCTCTGTTGATTGCTTTTTGTGTCAACCAAGCATATTTATATCTCTGGAAGATCCCACATTCTTCCTGAAAACAATGATATAGAGTTGAGTTTCAGGAGTTCACCAATATCATTATTAGGGAGAGTTCTTCTTACCTGACACACACAGTGGACTGTAAACATAATGAGGCATAATACTTATTATACTTCAATGCAATCATTTGCATCCATTTGACCAGCCAAAACCAGGTGGCCCGCATTTATGAGCTCAGCTTCATTTTGGAGACACTGAATCACTGAAAAAGGATAGACAGATTGAAATGCACAGGCTAAATGGCCAAATCATAAGTATTCTTGTTCAATAATGATAAAAACTTACAGCTTATGTTGGTATAGGTTTTAGGTTCAACATTCCAACTAGAGGTAGGTAGGTGTTCTACTGTTAAACATCAGAGATATTATTGTCCTCAATCAAAACACAATGAACCACTGGAAAACACGGATTTAAAAAATACACAAATATCAAAGCTGAGAATGATTGAGAACTCAAAACGAAATTAACATAAACACACCTCTCAATAAACACCATCACCAAAACCAAACAATGTAAAATATAAACAATCAACTGGCTTTCGCCGTTCTGGCTCTGGCGCTACGATCTCTCTTTCGTTTGACATGGCGGTATTTTCAAATCATCCCACCCGATTTATAAAATAACTTACTCTGAACAATCTATATAACCTCTATGTATTACGGTGAAGTTATAAAAATTATGAAATTGAAAATATTCTATTAGCCTGAATCAATATGATCATACCTATATTTCTTATTGAAAGTTTAACGCATATTATGAGAATAGAACCAAAACTAGGTGTGGAATTCAGCAATTCTGAGAGTGGAGAACGTTCAGATATGACACACTAAAAGTCATTATGATTAATACTTATTATAATATACCAAATATCATTATTGCTTATTTGTATTATTACGATGTCTTTAAGACGTATTCAGGACGTGAGAATCAGATATCTTTAAAACGTCTGAATGATGACATCTTGTAGACGTCTTATTCA